CGTCGCGTCGCGCGCCTTTCGCTATCTCCTTTTTGTCAGATTCGTCTTCATCATTCGCTCAATCTTCTATTGAATAGTAGAAAAAAAATGTTGCTCATTCATTACTCTGTACTTCATTTTCTATGCAATTGTTTATCATATCCAAAATGATCTCGTTTGCTTGCTTATTTCGGCCTCGTTAATAAACAGAAATGAACTTGTCGACATCGACTCATCCCCGACCGTCCTTTTGGATATGTCAACGAGACGGAATGCGCGAAAGACTATACGAAAGATATTCTCTGAAGCTCTGCTAAGTTCCAAAATGGAACTTGAACGTGCGTTCAAATCTACGAAAATCGTGAAAGAATGCCGATCGGCATTACGAATCTAAAGTGCAAGTGCATCTCTCTTGGTTCTACTCCATGGTATCACATCTCGGGAAACATTTCACTATCTCTAAGACTGCACTGTTGCCGCACTCGTTGCCCGTAAAATAAGCACATCTTAATTCCATTAAAAAGGTGAAATAATCACGAATATACAGCGCACAGCCGAATGAAGAAAATATTACATCAAATATATGTATGTTTGACACTGAGATAACTTCTTTTTAAGAAAAATGTTTTATAATACCAACGTGTCGTTTCGCTCACCCCACTCAATAGTGGATAAGAAAAGCACACAAATATATATATTCGATATTCGATATAGATATATATTACTCGATACACAATTACATATATACACAAGTGTTTAGTTATTTAATACTTCGTTTATACTTTATACTTGTTCGTTTCTACCAGATTTATTTGTAGAAAAAATTCGGTTTATATAAATTTATTCGTAATCACATTAATCTCAATTTACAGAAGAATTTTCAACAATATCAGTCGTACTGTCCGACGATTAAGAACGCAAGAGTGAACATATCCCGGGGTCCATCATATTCAACGATCCATTCACTTCAATCCTTTGTGAAGGATTGTCTGACTTTTCTCATCCACTATTCACTTGAGCAACTCGCTTGAAATTCATTTCAATCTTTTGATTTATTTACGCTTGTACACATATATTTAGAAATACCCGAAATATTACCAGAATATTTATAATAAAATATTCATATACAGATTGCGGCAACTTGATACTGTCGCGTTTTGATGATCGCAAACACAATGAAAACAGTTATATTTCTGCGCAAAAATAAGCACGAAGAGAAAACGGTTGAGAAACTTGCTTTGTCAAAAGATAATAAAGAAAAGACTAAAGAAAGACCTAGCGAGAAAAGCTCTGCTTGAGTTAAATTAAAAATACATTCGTTTCAACTACCGAGCACCTAAGACCACCTCCACCTTCGGACATCACAGTCACGTGGTCGCTAATAAATTCTTGGTTGCGTCACCATGCATTCGAAAAAAATTGTCTCTGTCTAAATGAAATAAATCTCACTTTACGTTCTATGATATGATGTAATACGCCGCAAACGAACAGAAAAGTGAAGAGTCAAATCAGATTGACAATTTTACCATGTTAATGCGCACTCGTCATAGCTTGTACAACATTTCTCAGCAAATACGAAAATTCACAAATATAACAACTTTTCCGTATTTTCCTGATCCCTTTTTTTCATTTTTCAAAATAAAATACTCATACGATTCAAAAGAAATAATATTTAACAAGAGATATATATATATATATATATATGTATGTATGTATGTATGTACAGTTAAAGTATATAGAAATTATAAAACACAACAAGAATAAAATCTTCCAAAAGTGTGCCGAGCAATAAGAAAACTACGTATGTATGTAAGAATAAATGCGTAAAGTCATATTAATCCGTCAATGAGATTATTATTGTAAAAATTACAATCAAAGTCGAGGTATTTTTTCAACAGATCTCATATAACAAAAATCATGTATCAAACAAAATATCTCAATAGAGTTGTTTTTTTATAATTCGTTTTTTAGTTCGTGAGAAAAACAGTAATAAACATCTCACAAATCACCCGTACAATCTTTATGAAAGCAAATTGATGTATACAATTAACTTGAGAAAGATAACGATGGATTCGAGATTATCCAGCAAACTCTAGCGAGACTTTTCAATAAAGCACTTTTCTAATTGTTTTCGAGGACGAGCGCCGCGCGGCTTCATTTCTATGGTATAGCGAACCGTCGTCGAACAAATGGATGAAACTCTTACCACGGGGTTGAGGTTTTAATGCCAATCCGTGTGGAACCAATTGTTCGATTGCATTTACGATTTTTCAGAGAAATAGTTCGTAAGCATTCAGTAAACAATTAGAATGTCTTGCCTTTTATCCACGAATATTTAATCAATAAAATAAGACAAAAAACTTTTTGACAAAAAAGTCTGTTAAACTCCACACACATATAATGAAATCATTATTTCTTATATTATAGTTGAATAAGAAATATGCGGCAACGCCTAAATTTGCATAGGTATCGATATCAGAAGACGCGATCATTGAACTTTCTCAGCACTATTTCTTAGTAATATCTAGCCACCACATCGCGTATAGTACATGACTTTTTCTCTCGTATGCTATTCTGACTTCACTTCAGGAGTTTTATTTTAAATCCGTAGGAATGGCGTCGGTAGAAAAAAGCCAAACTTACAAAGTTTTCGATATATATTCGATATACATATAACGCATAAAAGAGTAAGAAAAAAAATGTAAAAAAAAATCGATCTGATATTCTTATTGTATATAAGTATAGTGCAAAAATGCCACGAAAATAAAATGTAGACTTTCATCGAAATCTATATGGCAAGTTTATCAGTTGTCACCATAAATTAATCTATAAAATACTGCATTCTCGACATGCATATTAACAAAGATCATTGTGCACTCACCAGCTTTCCAATGCAATTCTTCCACCGACGTCTCTGAGTAGAGATTTTAGTTTATAAACAGCAGCCAAATCGTAATAGGAAACTAGAAACTAAACATGGACTATCCAATAAACCGTATGTAAGCGGAAGTCGGATTTCTAATTAAAAGCAGATGACCCGTGAAAACAGTCGATGGATGGTGTTCATTGGCGTCCTAATGCACATCTAGCGTAACTCGCGCCTAATCCGTGAACCGCGTTTAATGCAAAACGTTGTGTACAGAAAGTCCACGATGCAATTACGCAAACGCTTCAAACACAAAGTGTGAAAGTGGCATTAGTTGACAAGTACAGAGACAAGTTGCCATAGAAACTATAGCGCGAATCTGAATAGCTTCCCTGTTAAGTACAATTCAATTTGTTTATAATATTACGTTCGAGTACTAGCGTAGATCCTTTCGTTGTAATTGCTAAAATTGGTGATACCAAAAATTTGAATCCTGCTAAATATTAACAAGTTCCAAATCATTGTTATCCAAATCATTAGCATAGACGCTATTCACGGTCAACCTAATAACCTAACTTGTTCTCTTCGAATTTTTTATATATCACGCAGAGTGGTAGTAACATAATGATCGTTTCGTTACGCGAGTGACAACGCGTTTCACGAGACAATTCGATTTGTCTTGCAGACACGCGTCGCCCTCGATAACGATCTCGATTACTCCTGCCCGAGACACAGCTTCGCTCACGCGATTAGAATTGATCCTAATTACACCTCAGTGTAAATCCCGTATTAGAAGACTACGGAGCAGGACGCGCGACGCGTACTTGGGCTGTTCAGAGACTCGAATACTATTACCGGCGTCAGATCTATTTAATTGTTGCTAATGCCAGTTCTAATGATCCGTTTCCAATCTCCAGTCCGACTGCACACTCAGGTTCCACCGATTCTCACCAAGCCCGAATACAAATCGAAAATAGATCAAGCGTAAATTTCTCGCCTCGCAAAGTGGAATTTTGTGAAACATAATTTTTAATGATAATTTTTCAACACAAAAATACGAGGAAATCTAATCTCTTGTACAAAGTTTTTCAAACAAAACTTTCTTTAAAATAACTAAATATTTAAAATTAATCGCGTTTTTCCATGACATTTTCATACAAATAAAAAAGTTAGCAAGAGAATGCGAATCAAGAATTTCTTATACATGAAATTCTTAAAACAATCTATTTAGGATTCAACATAGTTCCGTAAAAGCGAATCACTAATAATAATAACAATAATAATAATAATAATAATCCGTATCGTTGGAGTTTGAGTCCGAGTTGAAATACAGGATTTCTGGACCGATGTAAGTTCGTCGTTGGTGACGGCTTTGTTTAATCGTCACCTAATGTCTCTAATGTCCCGGTCTAACCCTTCGTTCGTCCAGGGAAATTGCCTCGCGGTATAGTCCTTCCGGGAGATCTAAGCTATACCGAGCGTAAAGCCCGATCTCTATTGTGAAGTTCTCAGCTCAACCTCGCTTTGACGTCTCTGCGTAGGATCAACTAGATTGTTGAATCAGCGAATTGCTGTTCGATGTTTGCGGAATGTACATCGATCGTCGTACGTTTATAACCACAGATCAACGGGCAGCCCATACAGAAAGGACGTCCAAATCCGATTGATCGGACTCGATGGTTAATCGCATCACCAGAATACGTCAATAATCAGATATGAAATACATTAATATGTATTCGACAAATAATTAATCGTAACCTTAATTAGGTTACCTAGATATTTACGGACTCGAGCAATTATAAAACAAGATTTGATTCCTCTGGGATATTTCAAATATATAATTTTATTAGAAAAAAGTGTAGGCACAGTGCTGGCACAGATTGTAGCAGTTTTAGCCAGTGCCCAGTGCTATTGGATTAAAGTGAAAAAGGTTAGATATATCTAAGTCACGCAAGACTCACTCTACTTAGTACAACTTAATCCTTTTTAATTAAACGCCCTCCCGATTATCTTGTCTCCTATTGAAAACACTCTTTTAGATTTTGTTCTTTACTAGTAAATCTTATCATTGCTCGCGTAATAACCGAAGCACAAGAAACGCAAGAGAAAAAAACACGAGGTTGCAATTTTAGCAAAATTAATTGTAATCACATACCTTAGCCAGTGTCTCTTTGTAAGAGCCGTATGGCAGCAGATAGCATCGTATTGATCAGCAAGCCACACTATCAAGATTATGTAAAACGCAGTGGTTGTGTCATTGAAAAATTCAGACATAAGCGCCTCCATTCCTACAAAAAACAAGCAGAAATATTTAATGAGTAACTTTTAATGACAATTAAAAAAAAAGTGCTGTTCGCACTTGTTCGATTTTTAATTTTTTATCGTATATAAAATTTCTTTTATGTTTTTCATATTAAAAAATTTCAGAATAGTGTTTATATGTAAGTTACATTATTATAGTGATATTATATATATTATTTCGAATTGAAAAATGTCAAAAAGATAATCAATTCTAACGTTATTGAACGAAGATACGAGCATGTCCTATTAATATCGGACAGTTTCCGCGCAATTAAAACTCCGAGTTGTGAGAACAGTGTGTGAGATTCGTTTTGTGTAAATTTACCGCCAATGCGCGGTCGTTATTTTGTAAAAACCATGGACCGTATCGATCCTTCTTATCGTTTCACAAACGCTAAACATTCAATCTTACTTAACGTGAGTGAGAAACGTTACTGCAACGAGTTAAAATATCTGTGGGAACGCAATGAGAATACAAACGAAAATGCATACGTATACAATACATTTGCCAACGTGTTTCCTAATGGACAGTAACGATACGAGCACTCATGGGAAATCATGCGAAAATGACATAAGAATACTTAATATGACGCATAGCGATCGCGAGAAACAAAGGAAAGCATTCGTCCTTGTGCGCAATTTTACCGCCCTATTTTCGCTGGTGCACGTGGGTCGAGCCGGTATTAGATCTAGTCGGATTCTATTTTTTAGTTGATTTTCGAAAAATGTTCTCGTAAGTCGGAAGAGAGTAGCGTGCGCGTATATTACACGTAAAAGATCATCGTGGCAGTGCTAGATGAAGGCACCCCGGGCGCGCGAGTCGCGAGTGTTGCGACCAGCAAGGATGGATGATCCCAAGACTAAGGGCACGGCGTTAGATAATTAGTTTCTCGATCGGACACAACGCGACGGAACATGGAAAGAAAACAACGCCGCGGGAATGCTAATGAGCGGGGTTCACGCGCGTCGCTCGTATCCGGGACGTACGCAACACGGCCAAGATACAGAAGTACAAATCGACGAAGAGACGTGGTCTGACAGCGCTCACGGGGGTGGCCCGACAACGTGAGAAATTACTTCTTAAGAGAGCAGGGCGGCCGATTGTCTCGCGAAGAAAAGGAAATCACTTATGCCGCTATTGTAACAAGAAAGTAATATTCGCATTGGAATTTTTCCAAATATACAAATCAGCTGCCTCTATAAATTATCGTGTTTACTTTCATCTACAGATCCTTCGATAAATCTGAGGTTGATTTATCTTTGTCAAAAGTTCGATAAAGACGATCGCTCATTTTTTTCATCCATAATGTTAAACACCTCGGTGCAGAGAAAGCCACAAATGAAATATTTCTGATGACCCTTACGTGTAATACATATAAAGGTTTCGTATAGACTTTGAAGTTTGAATGTTATCTTTTATCTCTTGTTCACATAAAAAGTAAATAAATAATTAAAGCTAGTATAATTTCAACGTAATAATTTCGTTTCGTCCATTTTTTCGTGTTTCTAAATATATCTTAGATAACATAACAAATATATCCTGCAAAAATTATTCGTAAAAAAAGACGAGAAAAGATATAGGTAATTGTATTGATCTATTCCACGTTGTTCCAAGTTAAGCATTAAAGCAACTTGGGATCCGATGCGATTTCGTTAACAGCAGGATGCACGTGAATCAGTTTTATATTAGCCTGTGCCAAAAGGATCGTTAACATTGGATAATGCGCGGATAATACACTCGTTTAAATGCATACTAGTCGAGCATTATCTCACCGTATAGGTAAGCCTTTAACGCGGTATCCTACAGGAGAACCGTCTAACTCCCAATCATATCCCCATTCTCCTCCCTGCTCAATTTTTATAAAAACGCTCAAATTCCAGATCACGACGAAACATCGGCTACGATTTACGTCGAATAATCTTTCGAAATTAAAATTGCATTGGTAACATTGTAATTTATATTTACCAGTATTTATCTTATAATAAAACACTAATTTTACAATGTGAGTTACAGAGAATATTTTCTTTTTGACAAAAGCATAATTCGTCGCTTATATTCAGTCGCAATTCATTCGAGCTTAGAAGCTTCAAACGAAAAATGTATAATGATATGACCGCCGTCAGTGAAATTAAACGTTATGAACGATCGCGCAAAACATCGTGATTCAAATTGACGGAACGGTCGGAACGGCACGGTTACAGTTTCCTAACTGACAGCAGGTTCACGGGTCCATAACTAATTCGAGGCAGTGCCAACGCGCACGGCCAACACGGGCTCTCGCGTAATTGCGCGTATGCTTCACGCCTTGCGTTCACGGCTTGCTGACGCCCAGTATCGGTGTCGGCTGATCGAGCGTAAACTTGGGCCTTGTTTAGGCAACGATTCAGGCAAATTAATACCTCTGTTGATTTTGCATGACAACACGAGCGGTGGAAATGTCAAAATAAATATGCTCCGAATACGAAATCTCTATCTTGTCTCATATAAATCTCATGAATCATAAAAACTCATAGACAATAGCTTGGTAATTGCACACGCTGCGATCACACACGTAAAATGACGACTTTTAAAATTGATGGTTTGAATATCATAGGCAACTATCAGATTTCGAAGATATCTTTCGTATTGGTAATTTTAGAAATAAAATACTTAAATACGTTACGCTACGAGGCTTCTAAGAAAAAAGCAAAATGTCACAAAATATTATCTAATATTTAATATAACAACGTGGCACTTTATACTCAGAGTTCATCCATTAGTCATCGCGATTAGTCTCACGAAGAATTATGCGTATTCATGCGTATGTCGCGTAAATTCATATACCTACACACATTTGAATTTCGCAATGCGAAATAATAACTGGAATGCGCGTCGCGCGTATTTTCTAAAGAGGCGGTAGCTAATAATGTGGTTAATCAATGGTCAACTGTGTACGGCCATCGCTCACGTGTCATCGGCATCGAGTCGAGCTGGGCCGGGGCCAATATTGCGCGCAACTCGCCAGAATCCCCATCCCGTGCAACTCTCCTTCCCATCTAATGGACATAATATTTCCCGTTGACCGACCACTGCGAACACATTTGAGCCTGATCGAACGCGAGATTCGATCGTATTTGATCGAATGCGAATAAATACAAGTGGCTGCGATCCTTACAGAATTCTTTTGTCGAAGACTGCTGTTCTACAAAACTTGCAGTCAAAACTAGCAGGACTCGCGTGTCCTTGTTATTCATCGATCTTTTGTTTCTGTATTAATTACTTTAATTACTGTATTACGTTAATTACTGTAATCCGTATGAAAATTAATCTCATAATCAGATAAATTCGCGAGTTTTTCTTCACATGTGAAAAAAATTATTGTTGTACAGCTTGTAGAGGACGGACGTGACTTATTCGATCTTGAAGACACAAGCGATAAATTTCCTTGAAATTAGTTTACGAAGCTCGTTGCGGATAATAAGATCTATGCGTACAATTGTTAGCTGTTACTGCGACTGTAAACTATATACGGGTCCTATCTCTCCGTCGGAGACACATTCGCGTCTTGTATAACGCTCGACTGTATAAACTCGCAGATCTCCTCTCGCGAAGTGACTGTTGACGAGATAATTAGGAGCGAAATCGTACTCGTCAAAGCATGGAAGATTTAATCAAGGACCAATCAGGACTCGCATTAACCGTCGTATGTCAGAAGCAGAACGGTATCGTAGAGTAGCGAATCCCAGCCAAATTATCCGCCGCTATATACCTGCAGGATCTTCGCCGCTGACGCTATATTGTGCTTTGGCGGCAGAAGCGGCTTTAGAGGCTGGCGAGGCAGGAGGCTATAGACTGTAGTTTAATCTGCTCTAGCGCCATGATCTAGCCATCCCATTGCATACGTCGGCACCTCGCATATGCGAAACCGTAATCGCGATAATTTGCGTAATCGCAGTATTACAAGAGCGAGATATTATTTATACTTATTTTACATCACGTGCGATATTTGTGAAAATGCGCAAGAGACACTTACTTGACATGTCACACACGTATAACGTGTACAGAACGTGCACCACATGATGTAAAGATGCATAGTTGAGAAGCTTTCAATAACTTTTTTTATTACATAATTATCCTAAGCACTTTGGAATTTTGCGATCTTTTTATCGCGATGACAGTCAAGCTATTTATCCCCTTTAATCCACAGAGGTTGAGGCGCTCGCCCTCACGTGCCTGTACAAAATATGCTAATACATATACGGCAGCCTCGCATCGACGTTGTAAGCAGATAAACGGAATGGTGCGGGTGCAACGTGTTCTGACCGTCTCTGAAAATGTGTTTACAGCATGTTAGGCGGTCGATCATGCGTCACTGATGCACAGAGGCGCCGGTGTGCCTTCGTTCTTTGACGTTCCATTATGCAAAATCGTCTTCCACGTCGTACCTGATGCCAAATGCCGAACGACGTGTGGACGATTTGACGTGAATTCACGCTGATGATGCCGCAGGCACCCGCCAGACAAAATACTGCCCATCAACGACGTAAACGCAAGGACGAAAATTGAAAAAGAATATGCCGAGCTGAACGGCAAATAGCGTTGAGAAAAAAAACGTTACGCAAAACACCGAATATAACGTATAATCTAAATGCTAAACGTGAATGATGGCATATCCATACATTTCAAGATTATATCGAAAATTTCGAAAATACGAAGGCGTCGACAATTATAGAGTTTGCTTGCAAAAATGTTCAAGGTCTTTTTCTGACGAATTATACATTATTGCAAAGACGCTGCAAGAATATTCCCCCGGAACTTTACTTTTTGCAAACAAGTTCTACAACATTGTACTTTCCGCGCTTTTTATTATATAATATTGGGGAAAATTGAAAAAAAAATTAGATGATGAGAAATACTTAAAGGATAGAACAAAAGTACTAAAATATAAAAATATACAAAAACGATATATCCTCTTTGGCCGAAAAGGAACATGTGATAAAGAAGCGAGAGAAGGTTTAGAAGGTTGAGAGAGCCGGGATGAGAGCCGGATGGAGAGAACAGGAAACGACACAGGAACCGGAACCTATTACTTCAGATAACAACTTCCCTAAGGCTCCTTTTCCTTCTCCTACTTTTTTCTCCTACGTTAACTCGATGTACTACATACATACATATACATACATATACATATACATTATATATACATATACATTATATATATATATATATATATATATATGTATGTATATATATTTCGATTTTTGTACATATGATCCTCTTGGCAATTCTCCGCAATAGGGACAGGGAAGGAGAGGGGGGAGGGGGGATGCGGATCCGGAAATTTATCACTTCTGTTACCTGCATTTCGCTCGACTGCCTGCTGACCGCGCAACTGGTGGTATAAATTAATGGATTCCCTACTGGACTGTATATAAACCTTTTTTATTGTGCAATTCGATAGATATAGTTGCGATCAATGAGTCTTAATCCCTATTTAACTATAAAATTAATGATTATGGTCGTAGTGACATTGATAGATAAAGTGAAGAAAAATATATCACGTAGATCGTATATATAATGCTGCCAGCACACAAGTTGAGACTTGAAATATATTATAGTTCTCCGTGCTTGTAAGTGTGCAGTTTTACCGGAAACAAATGGAAATAAGAAAGTATAAGATTAGATCGTAAGCTAAAACAATATCTAATGTTTCAGCATATTATGTCGAAACAGACGTGAAAATTCGTGGAAGAGAACGAATAAACCATTTGAAACTCGTTAACAAACTGAAAGAGGTACTTCTCGAGAGAAATAATTTCTTATGTACAAAAGTATCGCGATGCAATGGGAGAAAACAAAGATTGTAAATCCAGATTTTATCAATGTTTTCAGAGCCCGTCATATGGGCGGGAGGATTAGAGACATCGTATTTTATGCAGGTCAATTGGACCATTGGTGCCAGTGGACACGCGAAGCGTGAAGAGGAGATATTCAGGTCGAAATGGAAATGGGTGTCGCGCGACGCCGCCGCCACTGCTGCTAAATGGGCTCCGAGCGGGTTACCCAACTGTTGCGCCTTCATCAGAAATTTATGCAGAATCCTGGGTTAACCGTCCCGGCCAATCAGCTTTGTAACCGAGCTAACGTCCTACCGGCGAGAATTCGAGAGAGCAAGGGTAGTCGTGATTTAGTAAAAAGGTACTTAATATTTCACTCGCACGTCGCGATCAAACTCCAACGTACTCGTTCGAGAATTCCCGGCCGATTGATTATTTCAAATAAAACGAATCATCTTTCATTGAACTTCAAAAAACTTCAAAAAATTGCAGTATAAGAAATAATAATAACATATGAAAATCTTCACAAGATACATGTTTCAATGTAAAATGTAAAATAAACGATAAACGTAAACGCGTAAAGATATTTTTATTTTAATTTCACTTTCCGTGAAACATTTTCCAAGGATGACATGACATTGAAAACAAGAATAGAATGTACTAATACAAATAATAAAAAATGGGTAATCAAGATATATAAAGTTAACTTACCTACTAATGCCAAGACCACTGTCAAGAGGGAGGCAGCTGGCAATGACACAGTTAAGTTAAACTCCAGCATTTGTATAAGGTCAACTGAAACAAATGAAAGAAATGGATGAATTTTAGTATTTTAAACTTACATGAGCATGTATACAAGATAAAATATTTTCTATTTATTCGATTATTTCCTAGAGAAATGATTTTCCCTATGAAATCTTTGAAAGAAATAAAACATTACACACACACGCGCGCGCGCGCGCGCGTATATAAATATAATATACGTGCCCGCCGTCGCGTAAGTTCATCGCAAGGATAGAACGCTATGTGGAAATCGTTATTCCGGTCGAGGAACGGCTTGAATTTAATATTTATCAGGCACATCGTGGTGAAGACTTCGCGAGCAGAAGGTTATTACGTAAGTTTAGCAACACCGTGAAGGAATCGTGTCGCGTTCGACGAGTCGACTCAAAGCTTGATACGAATTAATTTCGAAACTTCATCAATCCTGATTTAAATTCCACGGAACTTTCTATCGATGCTTTAAACACTCCTCGCACTCCTTAGTATTGATTTATTTCTCACGCCCATCTTTCCGATAAATATATCAGAAAATATATGTCTGTAATCTCGCGTAATCAAAAGCATTTCGCCGTTAATAAACGTATAAAGACTAATACTGATTTAGGAGCGTGACGATTTTGTGTTTACTACTTCTTCGGATAATCTGCTACATGAGGGATCGTCTTGCAAGATGGGGGGAGCCAAGGCTCAAGGATAGATTAAAAATTCATAATCGCATCGTTCCGTGCCGCGCCCGCCATGGGTGCAACAAAGCAATTAAAAAGTTAATACCGTCACTCGTCCTAGACGACCCACCGCGAGCCGCGCCTTCTTTATAGGATACGCAGCGTCGTATCTTACAAATTTGCGCGCGACACTCCTGGTGGTTCAATTTAATGAATTTTAGATTTTAACTTATCATCTACTAACTCTCCACCCTCCGGTTATTAAAACTTGCCGCAATCCTTCGTCCTGTCCCGCATAATCTCCTCTCTAACCAGCGCCAAGTATATCTCTTACATTTATTCTCTTTTTCTCTCTTTTTTTATGTTAACCGCTCTATCCATTTCGCTTCCGTTCTAATTAGATCGAAATCATTAAACACACTATACGCAAAGCAATTGCTAAAGCTCATGTCAGCTTCGATTCACCAATACTAACGTAAAATCGTAATTTATTCAATAACCAGAAAGAAATTTAATACAAAATTCAGAATTATCCTTTTTCAATTTTCACAAAGAACAAACACCCAATGTTTCAGTTCAATCGCGCTCTACATTTGACAATTTGAAGAAAATATTTTTAAAAAATATCAAACTAACAAATACAAATTATTAATGTATTTCAAAATTATGCAAAACTTTCAAATAAAACAATAATAATGCAATTTTAATTCACTTCTAGTCTGATTGCGCAAATAAAATACTATTAGTAAATTATAATAAAGTATACTTATGTAAACAGCATAAACAATTAATTTTGAAGCATATATATATATATATATATATATATAAAGTTGTGTCACAGATAACACAGAATAATTAAATATTAAATATATGAATAATTAAATATTTTATATGAGTTTCTCAAAGTTAACTTATATACATGCAAAGTAAATCTAACAAGAAAACATAAGCAAAAAAACAAAAAAAAAACGAAAATTTTAAGAGTAATTTAAATGCACTATTAATAAAAATAAACTAGAAAAATATCGTAAACATGAAAAAAAAGTGGAAAATGAGCGAAACTTGGTCGGTCACAAATTGTCTGACTTGAAACATCCAAAATTCGCAAATGGATGGAGGGAGCATGCCGCTCTTCACGCTGTTTTTCTATGCAAATTTGTATTTCAAACGATTAACCTGCGAAAATAACTTCTCTCGATGCCCCTGTTTAAACTTTCAAGTTTCCCTTTCTTTTTTTAAGCTAACTCACGAACTGGCCATAAAAAAATCATCAAGCACGTGGCATTTTTTTTTTAACTAAACTTACCAAAAACAGTGATTAAATTAAAATCAAAACTCTTCGATTCATCAATAATTAAGTCTTTTCAAAAATTACTTAATAAATATTGTTTCAAAAAATCATATCACACAAAAAATATAACTGATCGATTACTTTCAAATGTGACTTAAGTAGAAAGTTGCAAGCTTCTATCCATTTGTAATCAAAATTCGAAAATCTCATCGATTATGAAAAGATGCGAGCGTTGAATATCGTCTTAAGTACTATTTAAGAACAAAAAAAATATCTATAAATATTATTTATGAGTATATAAATAGCAACAAATTGTTATTCTGAAATCAGTTTTTAAGTCATCAAATTAAAATCCTTGAAATTTGTTCGAAATTAATTTTAATAAAGTGACATTTTCAATAAAGAAATAAAAAAAAATTCATTGGACATCAATCTTAATTAATGAAAAATAAGAGTGAAAAGGCAAATAAAGTAAATACAACGAGTATTTATTAAAGGATAAATTGCGTTTGTAATTGGCTTTCAAGAACATTATATTGTGATGTATAGTCTTGGTTTATCTTATTTTTCATTATCTTATCATTCTTACGCGATAACAAAATTCAACGATATATTATATTTTTATAATGTAAAAAAAACTCATATCAACATCAAAGAAATATTTCTCAGAAATAACGTAAACAATTTTTATTTGCAAACATTCATTTTCAATTATCTACATTGAAATTATCTGCGCATTTTGCACTGATTTAGGTGTAAAAGATTTTTTTAAATCTCAGGTATCTAATTTCAGAGAATGGAATCTGATTATTACTAATCATACCTGATTAGTAATAATCTCCGAAACGTGTCAAACGCTTTGTTTGAGCATATTATAATTAGCTTATTTATATAGATGATGTAACAAAATAAAATCTTATTAGATGACAATTTTATTGAACTTTAAAAATCCTACTGATAGAAAAACATTATTTAAATATATTTTTCGTAAATATTATAAATGCCGATACGCAATAGTACAGCGTACCGCATCAGCGTATTGCACCAATTCAAAACGTAACATTAAATTAAATTTATAACAAATTATAAAGGACATAATTTGAAACAATAAGAAAAGAAATTGTCTTAAAAATAAAAAGTGCGAAAAAAGTTTGCGCGATAGGGATATCCGCTCTTACAAAGAACGATATCTCGTCTCTACCATAGCTATATAGAGACAAGTGAAAGTTACATAAATCATTAAAAACGATAAGTACCTATAATTGAGTAGACTCGAGAGTCTACGCAAGTCACAATGTGTTTATCGTACCTAATACTTAATTTTTTCTTTACGATCTTATTAACAAAAACTTGATCATTCGACGTGAGCTGCATTCGTCTTGCGTGATGACGTAATATATCGCAAATAAATCTTATTGTACACTTCAATCATCTTCTAAAGTGCGTACACGCGTTGAATATTTCGAACGTTGAAAATGCAGCGATAAGTATTAAAAAAAAACATATAACTATATTGTAGAATAACATAACGCGTGCAAGATTTTCATGTTTCTCTCTTCTCCAAGCCAATCCAGAATCCGCCATCAGGTTGCAATGTAAATTCCTTTTTACTGAATACGATTGGTTCGACGGTTTTTTCGGTAGTTTTCAGAGTAAATTTTTGTAAAAGATGAGCTATCAGAATCTTCGTCTCCATCAAAGCAAATCGATTGCCAATACATTTTCTAGGTCCATGACCGAATGGTAGATAAGTGTAGGGTACAATGTTGTCTTTGTTTTCATCACTGAACCTTTCAGGATCGAACTTATTCGGGTTCGGAAAGTACTCTGGATTGTGATGTAAAGCATAAACAGGAAACATTATTAAATTGTTAGGTTCGATGATTGCACTTTTGCAGCCTGGTTCCGACGCAGGCAATTCGTATCTCTTATTGCAAAGCCTATCAATTAAAATCACTGGTGGATACTTTCTGAGAACTTCAGAAATCACCATATCCATGTAAGACATTTTCGATAATGCCTCGTAAGAAATCTCACCACTTCCCTCGTCAAGATGCTGTTGCACCTCCTTGCGCAAACGATCTTGAATATCTTTATTAACCGCCAGTTCGTGAGCAGCGAAACACATCAGCGTTGCAGATGTGTCGAAACCAGCGAAGAAAAAGATGAAAGCTTGCGAAACGATGTCATCCAATGTCATTTTGTGTACACTGTCACCTTCCTTGTCCCGAGCCTGCATTAGTAAATGAATCATATCCGGTCTGATGATATCTTGCTCTTCCCGTGCTCTAATGGTTTCTCTCACAATTTGCTTGAAAAACTTGGACGTAGCCGGTGGAAAGAAAGTCAAACCAATTGATTTAGAGAGCGACGGACACATACGCATAAATATTAATTTAACCAGTGTTAGAAATCCACCAGAAAATTTGGTAGCCTCCACTCCTCTCGTATAAAACTCGTTGTTTTGATCCTTCATAGAATTCACGCTTATGCCAAAGGCTGCCGTAGCAATTACGTCATTGGTGTACCGTCTGAAGGCCCCCTTCGTCTCGATTGCATTACAGATTTCCGGATGATCGACAAAATAATCAACGAAATCGTGAGAGCATTTCGATATTAAATCAAACATAAATTTCATCTTGCTAGCGGTAAAAGAGGGGCTTAATGTAGTCCTCATTTCTCTCCAACGATCTCCACGCAAGGAGAAGATGTTCTTGCCAAACAACGGTTCCACGTTTTCATCAACGAAACTACGATGATCTGGGAAATATTCAAAATCCTTCACCATGATGTCTCTAATCAGCTCAGGATCGCGCAATAACACGCTAGGCGTATTAAAATCCATTAGTCCAACATATTTAGCATTCGGCCAACAATTGTATATATATTGGCAATAATCGGTAAAATTAATGCGACGCAGAAGCAATTTCCAACCCACTGTCATAGACGATAGCGAATTTGGCAGGTAAGGCACGCCCTTTTTCTTCCAGTAAAAATATCCACGATGCAGCACAGTCACAAATTTCAGGACGCCAATAACGACCAAAGTAATCAATAATAGGACAAAGGGCGACGAAAACAACGACCAGTCCATCGTGATGTGACAGTGTAACAGACAAACAAGATACTTTGCTGGACGCGGCGTAGAACGTTATAAATACATGTACTGCGCGTGGAACTTATCGTGAATGAAACGAAGATGGGAGGGAGAAACGCCTCTCGCGTCGCGATAATACATGTTGCATCAGTAATTGCACAAGATATATTAAAAGTGCATGAATATATCTTTTGAATATATTGTAGATCAATCACGGTAATAATTTTATTCAAAAAATAAATGAATGCAGATTCAAAATTAACGAAAATGTAAAAAATTTCATTTTCTAAATCATAGATCGTTAATCGACGATTATTTCGAAGTAAAGAAATATGACGAACCCATAAGTATAAAATTATTTCTATACTCCTATGATTTTTGCGAGAAAGATTCGATTGTAATTCAATCATCGTTATCCCTATGAATTTAAATTGATCTTTCATTCATAATCTCTGCTCGCACAATATATACGTACATGCAAAATACTTGTGCAAGCATCAATTTTTTTTTTTATAATATCTTATTAAATTCATAATAACGGATTAATCTCGAAAATCGTGCTAAACAAGAATAGCTAAACCCGTTACGAAATAAAAAATATCGCGTAACTAGTTGCAAAAGATAATTTCACAAAATATATTGACTAAACGAATTACCAATAGAACTTTGTCTCCGTCTCATAAAATATAATAAATGTGCTGACTAATTGTAAGCGAATTATCAATCTTTGATCTTTATCTGCGTATTATTCATCAAGTATAACTTCCAATCGATTGATTGAGTGTTAATCAATTTGTTTTGCTATTGAACACGTAATACACACGTATACACGCACATACTTTGTTTTGTATTTTCTCTTTCTTTCACGTAAAAATAAATAAAAATTTCATCACTCACCGATAAAGACAAAGATCTGATGATGCGAGTAGCGCAGTAGCATCGAGATCGACACCGTCTGAAACAATAAAGAGCAAAAAATTTATATTAAATATTACTGAAAATATAATTACGCAATCATATATACACATACACATATATAGCACAGACACGATCGGCATTATAAATTACGGAAATTTTGCCCGAGTAACTTTGACAAAGTTACGGCGTCACGTAAATTGCGAACTGGTCGCTCGTAGTCGGTTAGCGGGTTGAGCGAATGTTGAAATTGAATTGCGATCGGTTCAGATTGAACCGGCACCTGACACCCTCGAAGATAATCCGTTATTTGCAACAGGCAGCCTTAGTAACGGGGTCGTTCGATTCCACCTTGTACGAATGCGCAGATGTTATTAAAAAAAATAAAAAAAATAAAAAAAAAAGGGAACAAGGAGAGAACGAAAGAGAGGAAAAAAAGAGCTAATAAAAACTATTTCTCTGATTACACCTTCTCCGAAAGAATCATATCGCGATGTACGTAGCTTGGCAATTATTTTTCCGCTCAGGCAAAATATCGTATTGTAATATAGGTATGCTAAGTAAGTAAGGTAAGTGACGTACTGGAATGTATTAAACGTGGAAGCACAGACAAAATATTTTTTGCAAATCAAATTTTCGAAATAAAAATATAATTTGGAGAATGAATATCTTCATCTTTCTGTCATATTCGATTTCATGTAAATTGAAAGATGTTCTCCCAATTATATATCTTTGGACAAATTTCTCTCTATTCTGTCGTTAAATCTATCATTCTAAATGTATCAAATCCTCTTCCGCTTTTTATTTTTTTATTCCTTTTCGGCGACTAATAGACATCTCTTATGGCAAATCTGCCTATTTGATAGTATCTATCACGGTACGGTCAATCGAATTCGATATAAGAGATGCGAACCCCGGAGGGTGAAGCGCGAATGCGAGCGGCAAACGCGCAAACACAGAGGCAAACAAGGAGAAAGATAAAGGAAGAGGGAATAGTATTTCATACTGTATCACATTGTAACGGACGTCGCCTGCACATGACAGAGGAGATACACGATGATACATGCACGACGACAGTCGTGTGCACGTGACTCGACGGCGGGCCAGCGGCGGGGGGTGGCTCAGGGTGAACCGGGTGAACCCTCCAGGCAGCCGGGGCTCGAATTCACGTGTCGCGGCACGAGCGCTCAACCCTTTACCCGATATCGACGCCGCGTTCGTTCCACGTATTGCAATGCGAACCGCATTGTTCGATCTAAAGAACAAAATATCTCACCACTAAGCGCGGGCAATCCGAGTCACGAGTTGTACGCTATGAAGACGGAGCACGCGAACCCTATCATGTCCGATGTCGACGAGGAGCTCTCGCAATGCACTTTCCGCAAACAAGAGAGAGAAAGACATTAAGCTCTTAATACGATAATAAAGAAAAACAATCGATAAGATCTTCACGAATACTTGTAAATGCAAATCTGGAATCTTCTTCTTATAGGGAAAAAACAAAATCAAAAAAAGAAAATCACGATGCCTTGTGATGCATAATTGTAAAGAGTAATGATTTTAATTATAATCGTTACCCCACACGCGAAATATACATTACTATTAAAAGCATCGTGTCATCATTAGGAGTTTCACCGGTGATCTCGACCACAGTATGCCGCAATCTATTCCACCACAATTTGATACAAAATTACCGACATGGGGCTACTACGACGAATACGATGCCTCTAATAACCTTGATTTATACCCGACGGTTCAGCTCCAAAGGGATTGCGCGTGGATGAGGACACTGGGGATAGGAAAGCTATGCGCAGACATGTTACTTTAGTGGATGGTTAGCTTGGATTGATTGCCATATCATTTTACACGTGTTAGGCCATCGTATAGGTGAGTGTGAAATCGTTTCTCTGATGGCAAGAATTTATTATTGCCAAAAAAAAAAGGTACGAGAAAACTTGCGATTCAATAGCACAATTTTGCCTTTCGTATTTTTGGCAAAATACACTTTGATGTAGTCATTAATTTTGTATAAAAAATTTATTAGATTACATTGAATAAAAAAACGGAGAGTTGTGCTGACAAACATAAATGATAAATTAGAGTAGCTTTTATTTGCAAACTAATAACTTTGTAACACGCATGCCTAACGCACGCGTGCACGTGTGTTTATAATGTAGTAATCTAAATTAAAATAGAAAAAAATATATAAGAAACATTTAGATTTTTCAAATTCTAAATAACTATTTGCTATAAATTAAACAATTTCTTGCATTTTATATAAAGTCAATCATAAAATTCATAAAATACTTACAAAAACGAGCATAACGAAAAATGCAGCTAGATATGACGTCCGTGCCATCCACATGCTTACAAATCGATAATGTTCTCCTGTCACCACGTTCCTATCAAAACGATCAAAGTTTAAACAAATTATTTTTTCAAGCTTGTCCAAACTTCTTATAAGTATTCGTTTTAAAGCATTTTTATCGTTATTAAATAATCATCGTCGTATTTAACGTGAAATACCTACCGCAAAAAACCTTTGTTGTCTTCGTGTTCCGCTAGCGTCTTGATACTTGCCATCAACAAATCGTCATATCCCAAAAATTCATCTAATATCAATCGCGAAAATGCATCACCAAAACATTTGTCGTTCAATGGATCCAAAGTGACAATTTTGACTGGAATGTTTAGCCTTTGTCGAGCCGCTGGTGATAAGCGTAAGAAACCATATTCTAATGAATATTCCACAATATATCCATCTTCTGGAAATATAATAAAAAAAATTACGTTAAGTAAAAGCACATTTAATATTATATAAAATATTTTTATATTAAAACAATATTATTTAGAAAATATATTTATGTGGCGTATACATAACTTGGGTAAATATTAAATTAGACCTCAGTTCTCATAGTTAAAATTAAAAGTATTTTGTGTCATTTACCTATTCTAGCCGTTTTATCAACATCCGATGTGCGATCTTTTAACTGTACAACATTATCTTCATTTAAATGATCAGGCACTTCTGTAGAGTTACCTTCCACATTCATGAAAGACGACTTTTCTCCAGGTGGCTAAAATAAAATGCATAAATATTATTTCATATTAGCATTTTATACACACACGCACACATATATGTATACTGCTTTTCATGGAACACATTACACGTCTATTTAACTTTATAAAAAACTCAAGCATTAAGAATGACTATGTGCAAATTATTCCTTAATTATTAAGTGCTATAATATTAAAAAATTCTTAATGTTTGTAAACTTAAAAATCTTATATCAAAGTATCAAGTATTGTTATTAATATCACAAGTCAGGAGACATTTTATACATACTTTTACTATTTTTTTAGCTATGTTTAAACCATTCCAAAGCTTTGTTGACAATGGAGTCATTGTTGCATTTGTCGTGCTTAGGTCAGGATTTTGTGTCTCGCTAGAAATTGTTGCACTTCTTATCAGATCTGGTTCATGTAATGTTAAATTTTCATGATTCTCTTCGGCAGAGACGTTTATAGTATCCCGTTCTTCATCAACAGCCGACGGTTCAATATTTATAAAGCTAATATAACAAATAAATAAAAATACACATGTTTGCTCTCTATGCGCAAAATAAAAAAAAATGGATTTTTATATGTAGCGTGAATGTACTTAGATTTTAACTTACCCATCTCCGGTTAATATTCCTAAAACATTGGTTAAATCATCAACTTTCTCTTGCCTCAATTTCTCCTCTTTGGCATAACTTTTCTCTATACTATAATCTTCACCACCATTTCTGAGAATTTCAACTCTCAATATGCCATCTCGCGGCCATTCGTCTCTTATATGTTCTAAGCAATTAGTTGGTGCGCGTGAAAATACTATATGGATATAAGCCAATACAAAAAATGCCAATATAGCCTGTAAACAAAGAGATAAATTACATCTTTTATCAATTTCTCATTTTCTGTTACTTTCTTACTTACTTAGAGACTTATTATAAAATAATATATAATAATAAACGTATTATGTATGTACGCACCTTTAAAAGGACTATAAATTCTATAAATCTCCTGACAGGCCTTGGAAATGTTCGTGCATAGGCTAGCGCCGCTTTAATAAATAACGCATGAAATAACCTATCCCGCACATTAATCAGCGGGTTTTGATTATTGTTATTTCTAGCTATATTCATGTTATTATTATTTAGAACTGGTCCTATAACACCAGCAAGACTATGAAGATTATGTGCTACCGCACCGTTTTGATTATTAGGCACTGCGACAGCAGCACCATCTCCTTGCGACATTTTTTAATATTACATAAGTAGCTGCCACAAATATAAGACTTGAGAAGAATTCGTATAATTATTTACATAAAAATCATCATATTTACACATATGTAATTTGTCACTTCCAATTAATGTTGTACATAAAGCATTGTACCCTGAAACAAATAAAAAATTTTCAATTAACAATTAGCAGTATCAAAAAATTCATTAGATACTATGTAGAGATTAAAGTCCAAAATGTATGAGAGTGCTGAGAATGAAAAAAAAAATTCATTCTCCATGCAAATAATTTGGAAAAGATATAACAGGGGTTCACGAGTGCATAACCTATTTGTTTTGCTCCGACAGTTAAATAATGGAACAAGCAAAATAAAAAAAAACTTGAGAAACGGCGCTTTAGAAATTTGTCTACAATGACATTATTTACAGGCACATTGAATACAATAAAACATAACGAGTCGCGCATAAAAATACGCGTATGCAAAACAGTGACAGTGACTGCTGTTTATTACGTTTGTTACGTAATTTCCTGCCGGAAAAAAAAAAAAAAAAGAAAACCTGCCAATCGTCCAGACTGGATTATTAATCGCACTAATTCCTTCCGTGATCTACAGTGAATGTATTGCAGAGAGAAAGCTAACGCATCGGCATGATATTTAACATTTGACGTCAACTGTCGCCAAATTTTCAGTTTCCGAGAGAACGAACGTCTGGCACGTCATACCTCGTGACAAGATCGCGATAGATACGCCAACGCCGCGATTCCGACCGGCACCTTCGCGTTTTCCGTTAATATAAATCACGTCGTCGCGCGCGAAAGTTGCGGGGTTAGCCTAGCAAATATGATATTTGCGAAATTGTCACTTCATCGTCGCGTATGTTTTGATGTGCACACCATAGTGTAGTAGATAGATTCACTAACCATCTACACGCGCAGGTTCGCCAATCGCGAAACCGAAATTTTACCAACGTTTTAGCTAGAGTCCCTAGCTAGGAACCTACGTTTTACCGGTGACTGGTGACACTACTGACACTTGAGTGGGAATCCGAACGCACCTCAAGGTTGCAGCCCTGTCAAGCACCATTTAAATTCTAACCGATACACAACACACCGCTCTGCACGCTGCTCACTGCTGCACAGCTGCACACGGTGCATCCTGCGTCAGATTGACGGCGTAACGACAGTTTTTACGTTTGCTCGTCGAATTTTGGGAGGAAAGTCTAAATATACATAAATACTCATTCTCGTATTATATTTTACATAGAATAAAATACTATAGAAATTGTTTTCTATATATGTATGCAAAAATAATTTAGACACATTACATACGATTATGTATTCACCGTTGTCACCTCAAGCCAGTCTCAGTTCAGAATTAAAACAAATTATAAACGAAAGAAATATATTGAGCATGCGGAGCCGTATGAAAGGTAAAATTTTTATCTTTTTTTTTATATTTATATTTATTAACTGTTGTTACTTAAGTCACATAAAGGTCTAAATCATGATTTTTTTTTTTCAGTTTTACATGCTTTGAACGAAGATAATGAAAGGTGTGCAGAGGAAAAGGAAAGAGTTCTAAGATCACAAGCCATTCGAGAAATATTAACTACAGAAGTTACTTATTTACAACAATTGGAAACCTTAGCAGAAGTATACCTTTTAATATATATATTATTTATTAAAACAGTTGTATTATTATTGACATACATATGTGTATATATTCTTTCAGTTTTTTATTCAGCCTATTCTCGAAAGAAAGTTGTTGAATCACCCATTACTTGTTACTCTAGCTGAAAACATAAAGACGTTATATAATGTGAGTGGTGAACTAGTAGCAGGATTAAAACGTAATCCTGATAATATAGCTGGAGTATTTCACAAACTTGCACCATTCTTTAAATTATATTCTGTTTATGCTTACGATTATACACAAGTATTAAATTTACTACAGGTAATTATAATAATATTCAAATATTATGAAAAAATTATTTTATATTACAATTTATTTACCTGAATGAAAATCTTCTTGAAAGTCAGCGCAATTTATACTTTATAGATTTTATATATACATATAACTACGTATATAAAATCTTATATGTATATATATATAATTTTTTTCAACATTTCATTTTTTCAGACAAGCGAAGAGAATGATTCTGCCTTTAAAAAATTTATTTGTGATCAAGAAACAAGACCAGAAGTAGGCAGGAAATTGTCTTCATTGTTAATTACACCAGTGCAAAGAGTACCGAGATATCAGTTACTTGTCAAAGAGGTTTTACAACATACTCCTTATGGACATAGAGAGTATAGAGATTTACAAGGTAATTACATCATTAAGATTTAAGCTAACCAAATAATTTGTATGTGTTTGAATGTTTTTAACATAATTTTAATTTGATTTTAATTACAGCATGTTTGGTTGAAATTGAAAAATCTGCGAAACACATAAATACTTTAATCGCACAAAATGAGGAAACACAAAAATTATTAAATCTTCAGAAGTGCATTGTTACTTCTATTAATCTTGTCAAGCCTGGTAGAATATTAATCAAACAAGGATCATTGATGCGTGTCTCAAGACGAGGCAATTCAGCTTATAGGAGATACTTTATTCTTTTAAATGACACTTTACTATATTGTAAAGGCGAGCCAGAAACATCATTGAATGTATCTTGTGTTCTACCATTAAACAAGTGCAGTTTAACGTGCGTTCTGAGCAAAAAACTGTTCCGTATAACATGCTTGCATGAAACATTCTTATTGTACTCGGAAAAGGCCGATAGCGACGAATGGATACAATCTATACAAAGTGCTATTAGAAAAGTATTTATTACATTATTAGTAAAAGTATAGATATATCTTGGTACTTAGTTTTTCTGTTTAACATATTAATGTCACGTACTATTTTATTTTCAGTATACTGAATGTAGGCAAACCTTGAGGAAAGAAAGTAGCTCGAGGAAGCCACTTAGACATAAAAATATTAACGAATTTTCGTCAGATGATATACCAAAAAAATCCGTTAAGAGAAAAAGATATATAAAAGATGCAGAACAGGTAAACATTATTATTTTTGATGGATACATTACTAACATTATTTTTAGGACATTTAATATAATACAAAGTGCAATTGATTTAAAATATATATTGATATATATCAGTATCTATTTTATAGAATATATGTATATATTGAAGAATTTATTAAAATAGATTTTATAGCTAAATTATCTTCGGAGATGTAATAGTAATTAAACTAGCATAAATTTTTCTTTATTACATATAGATATCGTTGGACACATCCAACATAATATACTTTAAAAAGGATGATGAAATGGATGAGAATACTCAAAGCGATAACACCTGTTTACCTCTTTGTACTAAAACCAAGAGATTTAAACAGGAAGAATATTCCAAAGCAGGCCACACTGCTGCTCAAATAAAAAATACAAAACTGAAATCATATAGAAGCCGAAATAAACGATATATATCTGCAATGCTTAAAAAACTCAAATAATGGCGATTATAATGAGGTAAATAGAAGTGTATAATTTTTGAAATACGTTTTCATCAAAACAATATTTATCTTTTCCTCAGAGACTTTTCCGATGACAATAGGGATTACACTTGGGACACATGGAACAGATTTCTTCACTCAAGTGTCGAAGAGAACATGTATCGCCATTCCAAATGATGAATGAATTTTTTTTATGTGTATTGGTGCAACAATGAAAACATTTTTTCTTATTCAGATAATCCATATATATGTGTTATATAAAAACGATAAAAGATAAATAAATTATTTATATCATAATTTATAAAATTATAAATGATTCAGTATACGTAATATTTATATATTTTAATTTAGATCTCTATAAATAACTAAATTGTTTACATAACTTTCAAAATAAGTCCAACATTGATTAGTATTCATACAAAAATAACTAGGTCGAGCTCTCGTTAATTTTATTCACATTTAATATTCACGAAGTAAGTACGAAATAAAAAAGATAGCTTAAAGAGATCTCTGTGTGTGTGTGTGTGTGTGTCACAATACGATCTGTGCAATCCAACTGAAAAGTTTATTTTCTATAGTCTATAAAATAAAATAAAAAAAAGGAAGGAAATCTCCCCAGATTGAGACAAAATGCACGCGTGCGCAGTAGGGTTAGTTCGTTGAGTAGTGAAGTTTTTTCCTCGACCCTGGGAACATTGCGTTACACACACGACACGACTTGTATCGTCAGTTTTCGCTTACGCTTACAGCTGAAATTTACATTTTACCGTATAGAAAACTATTGGAGCACACTGGAGGTTACTTGTAAGAACGTATTTGGTATTTGTTCGCGCAGGCAGGCAGACGGCGAAGACCGAATACTCGACATTTGTGGATTTTTAACGTACGGTATCGCCTGATACCGGAAACGAAAGCAGGTAAGGAGGCAGAAGGGTGGAGAGTAACGCTTATACAGAAAAAATCTGACATCGACGTGAAAAAGCATCGACGATACGCCACGGACAGCCCGTAAAGTCATCAACGCTTCTTCTCTATGAGAAGTATATTCCTCATATAATTATCCAATATGCAGGCATCCCGGATGCCATATGATTTCTAATCGAACATTTGGCATCCCCTTTGCTCCGATTGTGATTTATTTTTCATTTCATTACAAACAAAATGAAAAAATTTCTGATGCACAGAGCACGACAAGACACTCCATAAGCGTCTACCTCTTGTATCGTTTCCTTTCCACGCGCAATATAATACGACGAAATGTCATAATCTAATGAGATATATGCTGACTCATACAAATCAAAGATTTGTGAAAGGATCTTATAAATTTCTGTTTTATTCATAACTGCGTGCTAATTGTAATTTCAAATATCATATAATAAGTTAAAAGTAGATTTTACCGATTGATTTCATAATTTTTTAAAATAAGTGGATTTGCATTGTACTTTATAACATCGTTTATTTATATATATTAATTATTATTTTGAAATATTATACATATTATGTTTCACATGTATTGGTATATTTGTTTTTACAATTTTTTAATATTTTTCATAATCATCTTTTATATATGACTTGCTCTTTTGCACGCATATAATTCTACTCAATATCATATTGCATATCAGTTGTAACATGATTTTTTTTGTGAGAATACCTTTTTTAGAAATGAATGATTACAATATATATATATATATATGTGTGTGTGTGTGTGTGTGTGTGTGTGTGTGTGTGTGCATTTTTTTTTTATTTTATAAAAATTTCTTTACGACTGGATATTTGTATTAGGTGCAATGGAAGGCCCACTAGAGATAAAAAACTCGGGCACAGGCGTGGAAGAGCCTATAAAGTCCGAAGCTCCTGTACAAAATTCTGATAATAATGAACGAAGCGATGGTGCAGCCTCTCCACCTCCAAATTGTAGCATTTGCCTGGGAAAGCTAATTAATACATCTTTCACGGACAGTTGCCTGCATCAATTTTGTTTTACTTGCTTACTTCAATGGTCCAAAATTAAGACGGAATGTCCTTTATGCAAGCAAACATTCAAATCGATTATACACAACGTAAGATCGGAAGAAGATTACGATCAGTATCATGTACCTCGCGAATTGGTATCGCAAATTCCTCAGCCACAAGTAACTGCTACTTTGGATGTTAATTTTGATGTCGATTGGGATGCTGCTCCTCGTCGATTTGTTTACAGGTATATATACATGTATATAATTTATGTAACATATATTATTCGTACATTGCAAGAGAATAAATGTAATGTGCATAATGTATTATAATTTGAGTGCACATTTATAAGATCATTCTATACAATTTCTCAGGACGACGATGACCGGCAATCGTCGGCACGGAGTGTTATTGAATCCGGAGCAGGTTACAAGACGCGAGCAGTTGCCCAGTATGGCACCTCAAGTACCTAGGGAAGAACGTAGACGTAGACGTGCTAATCCTACAGATTATCGTCGCACTGTTTATAGACATGGTTTATGGGCTAGTCCATTACCTGACATATTTGGACGTTTCCGCGAATGTAGCGCTGAATATTATAGGTAAATATTATTCTTACAACTTATAACTTAATTTTTATTATTTATTTTAAAATCTATAACTATAATATTAACAAAATTTCTTTACTCGTAACATTACAATTTTTTTTATCGATTGTATTTCAGAAGACAACCACAAGAATTAGATCGCCTTATACCATGGCTAAATAGAGAACTGCAAGTTTTACTTAATAACGAACCAACCCATATTGCATATGTGTTGAGTGTAATAATGGATGCCTTAACTCAATATGATATTAGAACTTCGGAATTTCGGAATATGGTCCGGCCCTTTTTCGCTATACATACAGAACATTTTTCACACGAATTGTTGAATTTTGCCCGAACTAATTTTGATTTATATGGATATGATCAATCTGTTACTTATATGCCACGCGGTGGTTCGTAATTATTTATACAGATTTTGTAAGTGCAAATATCAAAGTACATGATTGTGTAAAAACTCGTTACAACTATTACAGGTTTATCAAATGAGTATGCAACTCATATTGAATCGCCTACATCCAGTAGCGTTAGCAGCAGTAGCAGCAGTCTTACTTTTGACAACTCTGATGTACGAATACTCGCTGAAGCGATCGATTTGAGAGTGAACGCCGAGATGTCGAATACATTACCAAATCCTATTAACATGCCTGGTAAGAAGTAAACGACATCGCTTTGTCAACACTCCTCCTATATCATTCTAGTCTAATGCATGCATGTAAACGTAAATCAAAATTTGATATTATTTGATACATTGAATCCTTTATGATATATACCTGTTTCATGATAATTAATATATGTATATAATTGCATGTATGATCATTTAGGTCCTAGTGCAGCAGGACAGACGTTTAGCAGAGTAGAAACATCTAATACTGTACCAGAAGTCTTAATCATTTCATCGAGTTCCTCTGAATCGGATGGCGAATGTGAAATAATTGGTTATGTAAAACCACGTCATGAAAGAACACCGGAAATCATAGAATTACTTTCCTCTGACTCTGAGCAGGAGTGCGTTCCTCATATATTGAATGGAAATAAGCAGTAAGTTATTTTAAAAGATCATAAAGACTGCAATTCTTTCAATCATTTAAACGTTCGTATCGTGATAAAATTTCTTTAAAAATTGTATTAATATAAGTGTAAATGTAATTATAATAGACAGTTGTTTAAATGTTTGCCATCATATTTTATTGCTAGATCGACCATAAGAATACATTTGGAAAATATGTCGTTACCAAGTACATCTCACGGAACAAAAGGATCGTCTCTGTCGTCTTGTTCAGCAACGAGTAGTGATGCTACTTCCGACAGTAATTACAATCCAATGCAAAGTAGACGAAACCGTTCGAGGAAATCAGGGAAAAAGGCAATCACACAAAAGTATAAAAGATCATATGGAACAGGAAGCCGAAATAAATCATCTAAGAAAAAGAAAGTATCCAATTCTAGTGACTCCAGCTCATCTGAAAGTTCACTAAAGAAATGTAACGAAAAACGATTGAGAAAGACGAGATATAGAGTACAGGCTAAAGGTACAGGACGAATAAAACTTATTAAAAGAGAAGAGAGCTATTCAGAAGAGGATTCATCTAGCAGTGAGAGTAGTAGCACGGATACCGATAACAAGACGAAAACCAAGAAGAGTTACAGAGAATATAAATTGAAAAGGGACTGTTCCTCTAGTGTAAATGATCGTACAGCGAAAAGTGGGAAAACAACGAGAAGTAAAGAGAAAACTTTGAATCTGGAAAAAATAAAGTCTAAGAATAAGGATCCAAAGTGTAGCGAAAACAGACAATCTAGATCTAGAAGTAACAGTACATCTTCTAATGCTTCTGAACGAGATAAAAGGCCGAGCTATAAGCACCGGGAATCTCGAAATACGAACGAGTTTGGAAGTCAAGATGGCAGTGCTTCAATAAATAAAGAAGTGTCAAGAAGTGAATGTAAATCTAAATCAAAAAAGAAAATATATTACTCTTCGGACTCAGAGGATGATCGTTTAAGATCTAGTAGTCAGTGTAGTAATTATTCTAATAAATCCTATTCGCATTGGAAAAAATCAAAACGTAAAGAAAAACATAAAGATAAGGAACGTCATAGATCCAGTGGTAGAATATTTAATTTATCGCAATCCAATGCAAGTACAATTTTAACGATGTCTATATCGTCGAAAAATGACATGTATCCGACGAAACATTCCGATCGTAACGGTTCTGATTGTAAAGAAAAACACAAATCACGCAAAGAATCCAAGTATAGAAAGTCCGAAAATGAAAAAAAGTCGAGACCAAAGAAAAAAAGGCGACGTCTTCAATCTTCCTCCACTTCGGGATAATATCATATTATTCGATTTGTGTTAGTTAATGTCATAAAATAAATTCTGATTTAAGGAAATGACATTCAAATCAATTTTTATAAGAGATGCAATGAATAGTATTTAATCAAGTTTAATTTCATATTACTGTAGTTTATATCAATTTATTTGTAGATATATCGTTCCCCATCATGATGCTACATTTTATGATCATTATTTGTTATATAATTTCAATAATATTTTAAAAAGATAAACGTAAGATTACTTAAGATTAATCATAAATGACAATGTAATACCAACTTCCTTAAGATTCCTTTTTTTTTTCTTACCAATTAAATGTTTATCTATCGGCATTTTATTATATCAACTTGTGACGCAAAAATATTTCCATATTTTACATTAATAAAAACAAATAACGTCTTGTTCTTTATTCTTCATGATGAATAAATGCATACATTAAAAATTTATATTTGCACAATGCAACTTTCGACATAAAACATTGTCTTGTTATAGCATTTCTGATGACTGAACAAAAAAAATTGTTGCTATAATAATATTGCCATGTACAAGAAGTTTATATATTATTACGCAGAGTTGGGGACATTACTTTAAAAAAGTAATGCGTTACCGTTATTTTTTGTAAAAAGTAACTCGTTACTCCCCAACTCTATTATCACGCTACCTTTTATGAAAATGTAATATTGCTCACAGTATATGTATATACGCATGCAATATACATATGTATGTGTGCATATCATTAATATTGGCAATTAGAGAACAATTTGTGCATATATATATGTAAAATCAATGAAATATTGTAATGATTCGTATGGAGTCCCAAAGATTGTAAATATGTGTACGTATAAATTATTAGTTTAATTAAAATTTGCATCTTTTATGTATATGTGTGTATATATATATATACATATATATATATATATATGTATATATATATGTTCACACACGCGCACGCGTTATACATACGTGTGTGTGCGAGCGTGCGTGTACAAGAAATATGATGGGGATATTTACACATTAATAAAACTAAAATATACGTTTATATAGTTTTGCTATGTACAATAATAACTTTTTACGAAGTATATTATAATAACCTTTATTTTGCTTTCCGAAAATTTTATTAAATTATTTTTCATAAAGATAATTTATGTATATGTATATGAAAGATTATAAAGATTATTTTATATATACATTGAAGCTATGCACGAGTATCTTTTATATAATGTATAATAATCATTACATTGCATAATAATGAAATGTTTCATTATTGAAATACCGTCTTTTAATGAATGAGTTAAAATGTGATACGCTTATACCTACAAATTTTTGATCTATAATATCCAAGATATATCTGAGACAAGATAAAAGAAACATAAAATAAAAATATCAATGTATGTAACTACTAGAAATTTGTATCATATAAACATTGCTCTCTTTCTCTCTCTCTCTCTCTCTCTCTCTCTACAAGATTATTATAAATTTGATAACAATTAAGTATATCATATAAAAAAATAGATCAGTAAAAGTATATTATTCCTGTGAAATCATAAAAAGGATATAAAATAACACTTAAATATAATTCATCTATCATTTACAGGTTGATTCTTAATTATATAGCAATATTTCAAAGCAAAAAAAATGTCATTTAAGTATAGATCTTTCAGAATTTAGATTTTTTAAGTAAGTTATAATAAACAAAATTCTTCAAGAGTAAGTTGCCAATAAATGTGTGTGTGTGTGTGTGTGCGTGTGCGTGTGTGGCGCGCGCGCGTTTTAACATATTACATGGTTTTAGGATGTGCCACAGTGCGTATTTTATAGCTAACTAGTACATAACAGGCGCGCGCTGCGTATTGAATCCCATACATCATCCAATAACATTTATACCAATTTACATTTTAATTAAACAAATGTTAACAATTTTTGATAAAAAATTTTCAAAAAAAATTGACGCTTTGTGCGCGGTGCGTATTAAACT